CCTCGCCGAGCGCTGGCACCTGCACCGCCCTTAGCGTCTTAGAGGTGCAGAGATTAATTACCCGAGTGAAAACTGCATGTCCCCGATCCATTCAGTGGTATCTGTGGCCCTGCAGCGCCCCATTGAGCTGGTGTGGGGCAGGAGTATCTGGGATGAGCCAGATGGGAGAACACCCGTCACTGCTCCCCTCGGAGGGCCTGTCCTCCACACACACACTGCTCTGTGCCCCACACCAGGCACTGGGGGCACCAACTCCAGAAAGGGAAGAGCCCAAGGTACCCCTCCCCCACCACAGCACCTCGCCTTGCCCTGCAGCGCCCCATTGAGCTGGTGTGGGGCAGGAGTATCTGGGATGAGCCAGATGGGAGAACACCCGTCACTGCTCCCCTCGGAGGGCCTGTCCTCCACACACACACTGCTCTGTGCCCCACACCAGGCACTGGGGGCACCAACTCCAGAAAGGGAAGAGCCCAAGGTACCCCTCCCCCACCACAGCACCTCGCCTTGTCACTCGCTAGCACAGGGGGAGAGCCACTCACTTCTGCAGCCGCACCTGCCCTGGGCTGCATGGGTGAGGTCTGCCCCTGGAAGGAGCACCGACTGAGGGAGACCCAGCCCTGCCTGCAGCCCCAGCGCTCGCTGCAGGGGGTGACGCGGAGGGTACCTGAGCACACAGCGCCGGCATCTTCTCCATGGTGACACTTGTTGTCTCCCCACGGCCGAGCCAGGCACTCGCTGAGGGTGGCTTCTGTCCCGTTGCAGGTGACCTGGTCCAGCCAGATGGGGTTAGACCCTGGCCCAAAGTGAGCCCCGTGGGGGGCTGCCAGCGCCGTCCCGCAGCCCAGCTGCCTGCACACGACTCCGGCATCCTGCAGGTCCCAGCCGCCGTCACACACGGTTCCCCACTGCTGGTACTGAAACACCTCGACTCTCCCAGCGCAGCGACTGGGGCCGTTCGCCAGCCGGAGCTGAGGTGCCTCTGGAACAAACAGCAGCTGGTGAAAGGGGCCGGGAGATTCGAGCGCACCTGGTCGTTACAGGCCCAGGGGGTGCAGCGCCCCACTGGCAGGCAGATCAAGTGCATGAACTTGATGGATAAAGATTCCCCGAGAGCCCAAGGCCTGGCTACAGCGTTGGAGGTTTAAGGCCTGGTGACCTGAGTTAAAATCACGGTGGATGATGGGGTGCAGAGTCTGACTCCTAATCAGGGACCCCAGCAGCGCTGAGCCCCAACACTACGCGGAGGCCCTGAGCATCAGCGAGTGCAAGAGACTCTCCTAGTGAGCCCCCCCACGCTGCCTGCTCCCTACAGGCCAATGCCCCCCAGCACAGCCCGGGAGTCCCCTTCCTACCGGCTGACAACCTCCTCCCGCCTGCTGGCAGCTCCCTGGCACTGTGATCAGCACCTCCCCGGCAAGGGAGCATGCGCAGCACTCACTGCAGGCGGGGGGAGGCGCGGCCTCCCTGTGCCTCCTGCCGCCAGAGGAGGGAGCAATGGCAGATTGCTGCATTGCCTGTGCAACAGGGGTCCCTGCCAGTTTGGGGGGGGGGGCTAGAAAAACCTCCCCGGCAAGGCCCAGGGGCCAGAGCAGCTCATGCTCCCTGCTGCATCCCAGAGGCCCTGGCCAGGGCACAGAGCTTTTCGGGTCATAAGGGCCACTGCGTGGAGTTTGGTGGTGGAAAGACGCGAGTGGGGGTGGGGCCGAGGCTAGGGGAAAGAGGTGGGGGCAGAATAGGGCCAGCAGTTGGAAGCCATGGGCAGAATGGGGCAGTGCCGTGGAGGGAGGGGTGCGGCATGCTCCCTGCTGCATCCCAGAGGCCCTGGCCAGGGCACAGAGCTTTTCGGGTCATAAGGGCCACTGCGTGGAGTTTGGTGGTGGAAAGACGCGAGTGGGGGTGGGGCCGAGGCTAGGGGAAAGAGGTGGGGGCAGAATAGGGCCAGCAGTTGGAAGCCATGGGCAGAATGGGGCAGTGCCGTGGAGGGAGGGGTGCGGCTGTGGGCAGAATGGGCCATGGGGCTGCAGGGGAAGGGGCAGAGGGGGCCATGGGCAGATTGGCTGGCATGGAGGA